CTAAGGCTAACCTCACAGGTACCTACCTGACCCTAAAACTAACCTAAACTTAATTCACACCTTGGTCCTAAACCCAACCCCCAAACCACAAATGGCATTTGGACTTAAAGGGTCTGGGCTTTGGGCCCCATAAGGAGCAGAAGGCCATTACAGTTTTGGAAAAGTGGTCCTCACAAGGTAGCAAATGCTAGAACACACACACATAAAGGTAAAACCATTATTGTACCCTTTATGTTTTCAGACAGGCAATGGCCTTTTTTAGGATAGTCTAGTAGTGTTTTAAATTGATCAAAAGGGGTACAAGAATAATTATATCTGTGGTCGCTTAATTATTTCTTTGTTGCAGAAATACTTGCTGGCGGTAAATCTTACAATGTACYACAATAAGCCTGTTTATTTCCCCTAAAACAAATGCTGGTGACCAGGCTGAGCAGCATGAGAAGATGCCAGGCTGCTGTGGCTGCGTATGGTTCTTCCACATGCCTCTGAGGCCTCTGTTTGATAAATAAATAAATAAGCTGGTAAATTAACAAAATCCATCTGACTGCAAAAAATTTGACTGTCTGTTTATTTCTAAATAAAACAATTTGGTACAAAAGGACTATAACGTGCTGTGAAGAAAAAAAAATGGAACCAAAAACAAAAGTCATAGACACATCAGGAAAAAGGTTTACAGTTTTCTACATTACACTGAACATATTGAGGACTGATGCTGTAAAAGTTGCTGCAAACATTATCTAAATCCCAGAAAGCTGTCTTATATTYCCCCCATTGAGCTGTAAAGTAAGTCAGAAAAGAGATTTCGAAACATTTTCACTCTCCATCATAGTTGAGCTCTGTGTTGACAGGAATCAGCCACAAGATGGCCACAACAAGTCACAACGATTTTAGACGTTTTACAATGAAAACATGAAGCTCAGAAACACAGCTCTACTCAGACAACTATTGTAGAGTTAGTTRTGAGACTCTGTTGAGTCGGAGCATCACAGCAAAGATCATTTTGAAAAGCAAAGAGATTTATTCCCCTGGTTCTCATTTAAAGAAAAGCATCCCTCCTCCTTTTTGCTGCTGACTGGAATCACAGGTTCAAGCTGGCAGAAAATCATCTCTGGCATTTCGAAAGCTCATCTGTCCTCGTTCTCAGCAGCTTCAAAATCTTCTCAGTTCTTCAACCACAGTCAAAAATAAAAATCCAATGCTTATTCAAAATCATGCATCACGTCGGGGTCACTATATTGAAGGAAGTTCGTGATTAATAAATGGAGGTCTGAATGGCACAGCAGTCAGGCTTCAGAGTAAGAAAGACTTGAAGGCCTTGTCAGWAAAGCAACTTGGTTTAAGGCTGCAAACTCCGTACCTAACAAAAAACCTCTTCTGGCTTGCCATGATGATGAATCAACCTTTTAACATTTGCTTCTGACTGGTCACACATCTAGAAGTGGTAACTTTTATGCCAGATGATAAAATGTAACCAAATTTGTGAAGACAGAAAGGCCTCATGAGAAGACACACAAACTCATTCTCTATTTCAAACCATATGACTACAATGATCAGAAAGTATAAAAACACAAGGCTTCACCTAACATTTAGTTAATTAGTAACAAAATTTCCTTCAGTAAACTAAAAAAGGAATGTWATGAGAAGCTATCTGGTCAAAACAAGATGTTACAAGTGGAAAAGAAAGTAGAAACAAGACTGAGGAGCCAATTAATAATCTTATTATTCCGTGAGACTTTGTAGAATATTCTAGAGTTGCTTTTAAATTAAGAAACATATACAGATGATTTATCTTGGATTATCTGTTRGAGATAGTGGGGCCACTGTCCTCTGCTGGCATTTCTGCTGCTGGATTGTAAAGAAATGTGTTTTTACAGAGAGGCAAAGCTGGACACTGAGACAAATTCAGATTTAACCTTGAACAATTGCAAAATAATAAAGCCATATTAATACCTTCAGCTGGACCAAAATACCTTTTATTTAGTCTCAGAATATTTTGTTTTTATCCACAATCTTCCGGGTCTGGCCACTCCTCAGGGGCAAGACGTCACATCGAGTGGGAGGCTCTTCTCTACCCAGTGACTCCTTTACAACAATGTAAAACCTGATGAGAAAATTATTTGTGTCTGTCTGTCAGTAATAGATGTGTGTTAGAGACTAAATCAATATCTTTTTAAGTACATTTACTGGTCAGAGTGCACGTCAATTAATCCCAGTTTAATCACGGCACATCAAGATTTGTAATTACACATTTAGATTTAGGTGTTGTTGATTCAGATCAAAAATAGCCTGGATCTCTCATTAAAAACAAGAACGTTGTGTGCATTYAAGCATCAGTTTTAAAAAGAATATATTTCCCTTCATTAAGATGACAAAAAACCTTGAAAGGTCCAGGTTTTGGGAACACTGAATAGTTTTTATGGGATTAAAATCTGCAGGAAGAATATTCTCAGTAGTAGCAAATATCAATATATTGAATTTGTGTTTGTTTCTTTTGAAAGACAAAGTTTATTTTAATCAGAGGAAATTAATGAGACTTTTAGCTTACTGTTACTGTTACAGTTGGAGTATCGTATTTATGCCAGGAGTTTCAAACTGATCTTATGCTTAGAAATGGCCATGAATAAGCTGGAAATGAATGTTATACAGAGTTGTCATTAGACTATTTGTTTCGGCTACCAGAATAAATTTAGCTCAATATGTGTCAAATTCATTGAGGTACTGTCATTTTGGTGTTTGCTAAGACTGGTTAGCTGTGGTGACCATCTTGAATTGAGTTGACTTTAATTTCAATTTCTTTAGAKTTTAACTCAAATCCACACAAAGACACAGAAGAAAACATTGTTGCCCACCTTTTGTCTTTAAAGGTGATAAAATCATTTGGATAACATAATCTGAGAGGTGCTGTTTGTAAAGTTACACAGCCAAAAATTACCACCAATATTTTTGTTTTATTTAGCCT